GATGATGTGATTCTATAGTAGAGCACATGGACCAGGGGTCTCATTCATAATGATCCCATAGACCCTTGTAATGAAAGTATGAATGGTTGAAGGCTGGTTGGTGGGTGTGATGGTTGCATTAGGTACCAGCTATCTCTTGGAGTTTAATCTTGCTTGGGCAGAGGACAGGTCCAAGAAACTCTAAAAACCCTGGGTTAGGGAGATGATAGTTTGTCGGATTCAGCCAACTAGAAGACCAGTGCCATTGTCGCTGGAAGGAAGCAAGCCTTGACTCACAGATAGTCTAGGGGACTAATGCTGCCACCTCCTCCCTGAGAAGGTGTCCTCCTCTGTGGTTTAGATGTCTTTCAGAAGATCTGAGCCTGAAAGTAGAGGGGATTGTGGGTCCGGGAGGACTAAGTTCTCTCTGGTGTAGAATATGCCTCAGTCCATCCCTGAGCATGAGGGGACGTGGCTGTTGGTTCCACCTGATCCAGTACCACAACAAACTTAACAGTTGGCGGGGTTGGTACCATTAGAGAGGGAGAGTCCCATCTGGAGCTCTTGGTTGGTACTGGTGGATGTCAGTCTTGCGACATGCTAGAGATACTTGTGTAGCTTCTCCTGCCCCCTTTCCCTTCATGGCTGAGAAGCTTAGGCAGACCTAAGAACTGTGTGCCCAACTTGCAAGGAGTTGGGAGGGATCCCTTATCCTGGAAGCAGGCTCAGAGGGGGATCTGTTTGTATGTCTGAGAGAGTGCCTCTTAAGCTTCTCATGAGAAGCCTAAGATCATAGATCTTTAGTTTTATCTGATCTGGCCTCTACTCCAGAGTTCGTGTTTGGAGGCACACTGCTCATGGACTGCGGCTGCTGTAGAGAGGGGTCCCTCTGGCTTGGATCTGATTGGGATCTCCTGGCTTTCTCCTTGAACTGCTTCCTCAATAGGAGCTCTTGTCCCTCTCGGATCCGGGGTGGAAAGGAGTAACAGATACTGCACTTGGCAGAGAGATATCTCCCCCCAAGGCAGTAAAAACAGCACTGGTGATTGTCACTGATTGAGAAGGAGCAAGGGTAGGAGATGTAGTTTTTAAATCCAGGACTTCTGGGCATAGGCCTACTCCCAAAAGGAGGGATGGAGAGGGTCCCCAGGGTGGGGAAAGCTAAGCTATGCTAATTATGTAAAATACTATAAAATACTAGCAAACTATATGGTTATATTTACAGAAATGAAGAGGCTGTGAGGATAGCTCAACACAGACTCAGGACATGAGGTGGTAAGAAGGAACTGGAGAGGGAGTCAGACTGCACCTCCCCTTATGCCCTCTAGTCTCAGGTGCATGGTGCACAGGCATATCCACATGTGGAATACACATAGGGTATAGCTCTTGAAGAATTAATTTTAGCAAATCAAATATACCCCTCAACTCCAAAGAACACTGAAAAATAATCATATATAATAAAACCATTTTTATTCTCTATTGCCACAAAAATCTGAATTTATGCATTACGCTCCCCGGGGGGAAAAGCATATGTGCCTGTAACAGCATTGCATCTACTACCATTTTGTTCAAAATTCACACGAATTACCCATTTCACACTACAGATATAATCATATTTTTCCTTGCCTGATGAAAGCACCCTGCCCTGTATATGTCCATCTGAGTTGTTAATATAATGAATTAACATAAGAATGCAAAATTTAGAGAAAGCATTTTCAATAGTTCTAGTTATTGAATGCTTGAATTCTATTAGTTCTTAGTGCATTATGAGAAGTTTTCAGTCTCCAAGAGATAAGACCTGTCTTTGGAAAGGGCACATCAGTTTAGAGAATGCCCTTCACCATGTATGTTCACATTCTCCATATATGAATGTACATCGACACATGCATATGCACACACATGGTGATATGCTATCCTAAGTAACATATCAGGTTAATGCAGCCACTTCTGTAGAACATGTGCAGTGTTTGAGATCAGTATTTAAGATTTCTCCATTACCTTCCTGATGAAGTGATTAACAATTTCATTAATTAACACGAAATGCAGATAAGAGTCTCTTTTGCCAGTGCCATGAAGAAATAATATTTTCTCTTTAAAATAGAAGTACTGTAAGTAATTACAGTTACAGTATTCAGTATTTAAAAAACAATAGTTGATATAGGTAGAAGGTTAATCATGACTGATTCATGATTACTCTTTGGTGTCCTCCTTAATATTTATACTATTAGAATCTAGGCATGTTAACTCCATGTTATTTGTCCAGTAATTATTTCATATAGTGAACTTTATGGAGAATGATTTAGTGGTAGTTACAGGTATCAAATCATGCAACTGCAATGAGTTTCTACTATAAAGGTAATATAACTACCAGGGCCGGCTCTGGCTTTTTCGCCGCCCCAGGCAAAAAAGCCTCCGGCCGGAGCCCCCGCGGGGGGGGGAGGAGGGCGGCCGGAGCCCCGGGGGGAGGGCAGCGAGCCCCGGCGGGGGCTC